CTGGGTGATTGTTGCAGAGCCCTAGAGGGCCAGTGTGATGCTGTCTGCACAGAGAATGGCCGACACCCTGTCTCCTGGCCACTGATGGCCTGGCCGCCTCCTCTGCAAGGTGCCAACTGAAGGAGTTGGGGAACAAAGAGATCAGGTGGCCTCCTGGCCTGGGAAAGAGACAAAGGCTGGAGGAGGGGTGGGAGAGTTGAAGTTTGGAGCTGGCTGGGGAAATGGAGGGAGGCCCAGATGGGGCTCTGGCCTCCCTGGCCCCGAAGACGGACCTGACTGAGGGGTCCTGTTCTCTGTACCTACAAGCTCTGTTTTAGACCATGTTCCTGTCTTCTAATAAACCTTCTGTTTTACTGGCTGGCTAAGAGTCCCGTCTGACTACAGAATTGGGGTACAGGGCCCTCTGGCTTCCCCAGGAGCCCCGCCGGCGTGGACTCGCTGCGGGAAGTGCACGGTGTGAAGAGGAGATGCTGAATGCTCCGAGGTCAGACCCAGGAAGATTGAAGCTGTGTGAGCTTCTTGCCCTGGACACAGTCTAGTCACAGAGAGGAGGCTCCCCCAGAGTCCTGACTGGCTTCGTATGGAGTAGTTCCAGAGCATCGCCCGGTGACTCTGTGACACCCAGGCCATCAGGGCAAATGAGAGGAAGGTGGACCAACTCTGAAGGAGTTCTGAAAGGGCTTCAACATTTACCATGCAGTTAAGAACACTGGTGAGGCATGGAATGTAGTCAAACAATCCAATTTGAATGGTGTTTGGAGAAAATTGTGACCTGATTTTGTGTCGGACTTCCAAGGATTCACAAACACTGTTGAGCAGGTGACCAACACTGTTGCTGAAATGGGCAAAGAACTCAACTTAGACATTGCACCAGAGGATATTGATGAGTTGCTGGCATCACATTCTGAAGAGTTAACTAATGAGGACCTCATTGCTTTGGAACAGCAAAAAGTGGCAGAAGAAGATGCACCCACTTTTGAAGAGACTCCTCCTCATAAAGTCTTGACAACAAAAGTGTTGGCTGAGGCATTTCAACATTTGGAAGCTGCCATGTCCTTGTTTGAGGAACACGACCCAAACATTGAGTGCAGTGCATCTGTGAATAGGAGCATATCCAACATGTGCAGGAAAGGAGGAGAACATCTTTCCACACTTCCTTGGACACTATAGTCAGGTCGAAGACTCACCGGTGCGGCACCTCCTACTGCTCATCGGGGAACTAGCTCTTTTCCAGCGTACCGAGCGCCCTCTGCAGGCTGGTGTCTTGCCTGCGCTGGCCCCGTGTCCCTCCCGGACCCCGGTGCCCTTTCCCTCAGGGTTCTGCCCTAGCAGTACCCCCACCCTATTTCCAGGCTGCCCCTCTGCAGCCCCAGTACCTTTCGTAGGCCTTCAAGGCCTGCGGCCTGGGGGTTTACCAGGCTGGAGCTCCCCAGCTCTCTTTGCCCTTCCGCAGCCCTGCTCCGCTTCAGGTACCTTGCTCCCAGGCAGCTAGCCCTTGACCTGGGGGCGCTGTGCTGCAGGGAGAGGGGCAGGGACTGATCTGGGGGCGCTGTCCTCTCATGGTCAGTGTTGGCCTTGCCTTCTGCCTGAGAGCTCAAGATACAGGGCTAGAGTGAGACTCCTTCAACTCCTGGCCCCCAGCCCTCTTATCAGGGCCAGCTGGGCCCGAATTTGCTGGCCACACCTGTGGTCAGCTACTCCCTCAGCTTCCCCCAACTGTTCTCACTCCATTTCCCAGCCGCAGCCCTCTCCAGGGCTGCTTTTAACACCCTGTTCTGCAGGAGCATCTGCAAACTTTGCCCCCTCACTGTTCACTCCTTTTTGAGGACCATTCATGAGTATGCTGAACAGCCCTGGTCCCAGTGCAGACCCCTGGGGACACCCCTATTTACTTCTCTCCATTCTGAAAATGGACCATTATTCCTGCCCTTTGTTTCCTGTCTTTTAACTGGAGGGCCTGGGAATGCTTTCAGGATCAACTCAGGATCCTTAATTTAATTTAATGACCAGCCTTTTGTTATCTTAATCACCCTGCCTCTGTTTATACACAAATGCTCTGCACCAAGGGTGGAAGTTTTCCCAGCACAGAACTCTATGTTCCACACTCAAGCTCTGACTCCAGGGTGCTGCTGGGGCCCTTGCCTCTTCCAGGCGATTGGGGAGGGGCATGTGACCCTTAGCGCCCCCCCCTGCCCCCCGCATCTCCCTGCCCCAGGCAGATGGGGCTTGTGCTCTGTGGATTCTGCTATGTACGGCAGGTGCTAAGAGCTCTGCCCAGGTCTAGCCAGATCCCCCCCGACAGCACCTGGGCTGGCCCCTGGCTCCTGCCATGCACCACCACACATAGGCTTGTTTGGCCAAAGTGCCCAGGCTGGGGGCACCGGTCAGCCAGCAATGAGCCAGACCCCCATGCCATGTGCTGGGGGCGGGGGCTGGCGGGCACATGTGCCCTGCAGAGGTGCAGCCTGTGTGGGGCCCATGGGGCTGTTCCTGGGGGGCAGGCTGGGCTCCCCTGGCAGTGCTGCCCTGCGGTGGTTTTGCTCAGCTGTTCCCTGGGATGCAGCGATTTAATCTGCCTAAAAGGGTTGGTGACGTGTTGTTTGCTGAGGGGGGAGGTGGCATAAATCCTGGCGCGAGCCTGGCACTGGGCCATGTTTACCCAGCGCAATCCCGCAAATGGCTCCTTGGCCTCAAGGACGCTCTGCCACCCACCCCTTGCGCTGCCATCAGCTGTTTTGGGAGGCGGCAGGATGTGTGTGAGAGCTGCTGCTGTCAGTAGGGCCCGTTAGCCTGGCTCCTTCGGGAGGGCACGGCAGCCACCAGAGCACCCGCCACGTTCCCCAGCAGCCTGCCTGGGGAGTGCAGGGCCCAGACCACTGGCCCGTGGCTGCAGAGGGCACCCACGCTCGTCGAGAGGGGTCTGTGTGTGCGAGCGAGCGAGTGTGAGGCGCCCCAGAGGGCTACATGCACACACCCATACACCCTGAGTGTGAGGCGCCCCAGAGGGCTCACACACACACACACACACACACCCATACACCCTGAGTGTGAGGCACCCCAGAGGGCTCACACACACACCCACACACCCTGAGTGTGAGGCACCCCAGAGGGCTACATGCACACACCCATACACCCTGAGTGTGAGGCGCCCCAGAGGGCTCACACACACACCCATACACCCTGAGTGTGAGGCGCCCCAGAGGGCTCACACACACACCCATACACCCTGAGTGTGAGGTGCCCCAGAGGGCTCACACACACACCCGTACACCCTGAGTGTGAGGTGCCCCAGAGGGCTACATGCACACACCCATACACCCTGAGCGTGAGGTGCCCCAGAGGGCTCACACACACACACACACACCCATACACCCTGAGTGTGAGGCACCCCAGAGGGCTCACACACACACCCACACACCCTGAGTGTGAGGCACCCCAGAGGGCTACATGCACACACCCATACACCCTGAGTGTGAGGCGCCCCAGAGGGCTCACACACACACCCATACACCCTGAGTGTGAGGCGCCCCAGAGGGCTCACACACACACCCATACACCCTGAGTGTGAGGCGCCCCAGAGGGCTCACACACACCCCCATACACCCTGAGTGTGAGGCGCCCCAGAGGGCTCACACACACCCCCATACACCCTGAGTGTGAGGTGCCCCAGAGGGCTACATGCACACACCCATACACCCTGAGTGTGAGGCGCCCCAGAGGGCTCACACACACACCCATACACCCTGAGCGTGAGGCGCCCCAGAGGGCTACATGCACACACCCATACACCCTGAGTGTGAGGCGCCCCAGAGGGCTCACACACACACACACACACACACACACGCACACCCTGAGGGTGTGAGCGAGTGTGAGCTGGCTAAGAGACCTCAGCTGCTCATGGGTGTGCTGGCCACTCTGGCTGGTCTCTGCTGGTGGCTGTGCTTCCCCGCCCTCCATCTCCCATGCCATGCAGCTGCCACTGTGGTCAGCTGTTTTTTACCTGGTTTATTTTTCTCCTGTGTGTGTGGTGGGGAGCAGTGTGTTCGCCAGGCCGGGGGGGTGGGGAAGGGCGGGCTGACCGGGTAGGGGAGCAGTGGGCCGGGGCAGGTCAGGCGGGTCGGACCAGGGTGGATGGGATGTGGTGGATGGGGAGCGGTGGGCTGGAGCAGGGCAGGCGGGTTGGACCAGGGCATGTGGGAAGTGGTGGATGGGGGGCGGTGGGCCGGGGCAGGGCAGGCGGGTTGGACCAGGGTGGGTGGGAAGTGGTGGATGGGGAGCGGTGGGCCAGGGCAGGGCAGGCGGGTTGGACCAGGGTGGGTGGGAAGTGGTGGATGGGGAGCGGTGGGCCAGGGCAGGGCAGGCGGGTTGGACCAGGGCGCGTGGGAAGTGGTGGATGGGGGGCGGTGGGCCGGGGCAGGGCAGGCGGGTTGGACCAGGGTGGGTGGGAAGTGGTGGATGGGGAGCGGTGGGCCGGGGCAGGGCAGGTGGGTCGGACCAGGGCACGTGGGAAGTGGCGGGTGGGGAGCAGTGGGCCGGGGCAGGCCAGGCGGGTCGGACAAGGGTGGGTGGGAAGTGGTGGATGGGGCGTGGTGGGCCGGAGCAGGCCGGGGGGTCAGACCAGGGCGGGTGGGAAGTGACGGGCTGGGGCGGGTGGGGAGTGTCAGGCCAGGAGGAGGAGACGGGAGGGGGAGTGGCATGCTGAGGAGGCCAGCCAGGCTGAGGTAGGGGAGGAGTGGGATGCAGCGCTGGGGAAGCGGTGTGCCAGCCATGTGAGAGGAGACATGGTGGGCGTGGGGTGCTGGATAGGCCAGGTTGGAGAGGGCAGGGCAGGGGATGTGGCTGGCTAGGGAGGGCATGTCATGGTATGGGGCCAGCCAAGGAGAGTGGGTTGGGGGGTGCGTCCGGGACGAGATTTGGTCTCTTCAGTAGACTCAGGATTCCCTAGTTCATCCCAGCTGGACTCGGGTAGATTCCCTGATCCTGGCTCGTTCCTTTCCTAGGCTGCATCTGCACTTCCCGCTCTGCTGACACCCTGCAGAGTCATGGCCCCAGGCAGGTGTCCTGCAGGGCGAGGGGGCTGGGCACAGAGCACCGACTTGTCTGGGACCCAGAAGAAACGGGTTCAGTTTCCAGCTCTGCTACAAAGTCCCCATGTGGCCTTGGACAAGGGACGTCAGCTCACTGCGTCTTACTCGTAAGAGGGGCCTGGGCTTCCTCACCTCGCAGGGGTGCTGCGGCGTTAGAGCGGTGTGCGTGTGAGGTGCTCAGACACTCCGGGGATGGGGTCACAGCGAGCAGGCAGCAGTACCTAAGGGACTGTTTAGCCAGAGAGACCAGGGCAAGCACTAGCCGTGTGCACAGCATGGAGAAGATTGCCCCGCAGCTAGCAGTAAGCATTTCACCTGCGGTCGCTAACAGCATCTCTCCCTAACGTTGCGGAGCAGAGCTGGGTTGGGCCTCCGAGGGGTGAATGAGAAAACGGCCGGGGGAAGGACACCCGCCAGGCTCTCCCAGGGCGGTGGGATGAGCAGTGGGGCCGGAAGGTCATCGCTGCCATGTTCCGCGGCTGTGATGCGGGCGGCCAGAGGAGGAGGCGGCTGCATCAGGGAGTGGCCCTGGAAGGATTTTAGAGGCAGAGCGGGAAGCGGCAGAGACAGGGGAGAGGGCAGAGAGGGGAAAAGGGGAGGAGGTGGGGGAAGCCTACGGGACAAAGGGGCACTTAGGTTTCTGCCAGTAGGCGCAATTAGCTCTCTGCTGCCATCTACTGATGAACTGCGGGAAAGAATTCCTGAGCAGAGCTCGTTAGCAGAGACGCTCGTTGGGCCAGGGCGATGGGTTACATCCACTCGTCTGGGCTGTGGGGTGACGAGCGGTTACTGCCGGTGTCGTGTGCTGTGCTGTTGTAACCTCCCTGCTGAGCGTGGAGGCCAGGCACTGGCGGCCTACGGGAGTTTGCCACGTGCAGACAGGACCCTGCCAGTGGGGTGCTAAGGAGACATTTGTCCCCGGGAAGGTGGGAAACTGAGGCAGAGGCTGTGGGCCGGGGGCTGTGGGGTGGAGGGGAGCTGTGGTGGCTGTGGTCCCGCTGTCAGTCTCACAGGACCCAGTGCTGGTGAGGGGAGATCTCCGGCCAGGTTTCTGGGTGGGGCCAGGCCGGTTTTGTCCGTAATCTTAAGCGGAATCCCTGGCGATGGCTCTGCCCGGCCCTGGGGGCTGTTGACACGCCCAGCAAAGGGTCACTTCCGTGCACAGCAGCGTGTCCCGCAGCGCCAGCAGCAGCTCCTGGCTGGCCCCGGCCCGGGCTCTCTGCTGAGCCCCACAGGCAGAGGGCAGAGCAGGGGCCTGTGGCTGCAGCCACGCTGCTCCCTGCCCTTGGACGGGAGCCTTCGGAGGCAGGAGTGTAATTTGTAAATGGATCGTGTAATTATGGATTAATAGCCACTGGAGAGGCACGCAGGAACCCCAGACACTGTCGCCTACTTAGACTTGGGCCTGTTTCAAAGTCCCAAGGCGAGGATGAAAAGCAGCCTGCAAGCTCAGCCAGTCAGCCAGCTAGCCAGCCCCAGCCTGCCCACCTACCCCAGCTAGCCAGCCTGTCCCGGCCAGCCAGCTGGGCCCTGTACATCTGGCTCACCCTCTGCTGGGGTAGGAAGGAGGGCACCGAAGCCAGCTCCGTGGCCGACGGCCTGAACCGTCTCGCTAGCCCATCCTGCCACACGAGAAGCCCCTGGGAGTCCTAGCTCTTGGGTCAGTCTGGACATGTGGGGCTGCCCCAGGGCCATTGCTTCCGGGGTCCCTGAGCCCCGGCCTGACAGCCCGAAGCTGGGGAAGTGCTGGGCAGGCTGCAGTGCCTGTGGGCCCTGGCCCCCCGCAGTCGGGCTCCCACGTGGCAGGGAGCAGCACTGGTTGCTCTCCGCACTGCCCTTCAGGAGACCCCCAGGGGTGCCGCAGGCTGGCACGTGGCCCCACGGGTTTGGCGCCAGGCATGCAGTGCTCGAGTGAGGCTGGGCCCAGCCTGCATCCGTGCTGCTAGCGCATGTATGTGGCCTGGTGCCCTGAGCAGGGGTGTGCGCAGCCCATGAGAGGCCGGCCTGCTGCGCCTCCAGGCCGTGTGCTGGGCCCGAGTTCCTGGGGCTGGGCCATCGCTCGGGGTTATGGCCCAGCCCCTGGGGAGGGGAGCGGACCCGAGCGCTAACGGGGATGGCAGCTGCCCAAGTGAAGTCATCGCGGGGGAAGATTAATCTAATCTCCCCGGGGACGCAGGCTGCTTCCTGGCACAGGGACCTGCTCATCCTATTACACTTGGCAGGTGCTGGCGGGGTGAGATGCTTTGTCACTCACTCCAGTCGGGCCGGCTCCCGCAGGCTGGGCAGGGGGCCCAGCTGCTCTAGGGAATGAATCAATGAAACCTGCCGGGGCAGCGCTGAATGGCTGCACATTTATCAATGGAGGGATGGAAAGGAGCTGTCGGAAGCTCTGCCCAGGGAGACGCAGCCAGGTGGGATCTGCTAGCCCAAGCCCTCCTGTGACTTGGGCCTCCCGCTCCGGCCATCCTCAGGGACACACACACAAGTCTGGCTGCTCCCCTTAGCATCACCCGCGGGGGACCAGCTTCCCTGTCGCCCACGGCACGCCCAGCTCATCCCTCGTCCATGCACCGGCACCGCGTCTCCCTTACTCGTGTGCCAGGCTGGCTCAGGCGGGCGAGTGATGTGCAGTCCCCAGTGCATCTGCAGAGCCTGCGTGTCGCTGGGGGCTGGCCTGAGAGTCCTGGGCGGGGGCTGCAAGGGTCCCTAGGGCCTCAACCTTTGCTGCTCCCCTCCTCAGGGGTCTGCGTCAGAGCCACAGCTCGTGGGATGGGGCAGCCAACCCAGTGCCCAACCCGGAAGTGGGGCCCCCATCGGGCTGGGCACAGCGCAGACTCCACCTGGGAGCAGGGCCCCCATCTGGCCTCAGAGACACAGCAGTTCTCACCTCCGTCTGATACACAGAGACTGAGGCAAGATGGTTCCTACAGCAGCTCGGCTGGCTCCTCGCGCTGGCTTGCCTGGGCTGGCCCACGGTTCCGCCTTGGCCTCTCAGGGCTAGGGGCTGGCAGACACGGTAGGCAGTGGCTGATCCATGGTTCCCGTGTTTGGCCAAGGGGCCAGGTCACTGCAGATCCACCCCGGGAGCACCTGGATGGGGCACGGGAAAAGCTCCTGCAGGGGCCGCACAGACAGACTGGGGTTGCTGGGGCTGAAGGCCCAGTCTCGGCATCACGGAGGCCGTGGGCCTGCCCCTGTGGAAGTGGGGAGGAAGCCCAAAGGGGTTGCTCCCAAGGGATTGGTCACAGTCTGGGCATAGACCAGCCCCAGCAGATCAGTGACACACGGCTTTGTCCTGGGGCTGGGGACAGCACCATGACCCCATGTCCTGGGCCAGGCTGGCACTGGGACCCCATGTGCAGGGCTGGTCTGGCCTGGCCGGGCACTGTGCTGCCCCCTTGTGTTGGGGTTCTGGCCACAAGGCACCGAGGCCGGGAGTGGCTCATTCTGGGCCATGCCCAGGGGACAAGGGTGAGAGAGGCTTCCGCTGACCGGCCTTTCCCCAGTCCCCTTCCACACGTCCTGGTTCTTGAGCCAGCCAGGCTGCCAGAGTCCCAGCGTGTCTCTCCTCGAGCAGTGGGGCTCCAGGAGGGCTAGGGAAGGGGTGGTTCTGCTGGAGGCCGGAGCCCAGAGCCGAGCTCCTGGCCCCAGGTCTGCAGCAGTGCAGGCTGTCTCCCCACCATCTGCCCCAGCCCCGGCTGGGGCCCTGGCTCCACATGTCACAAGGCTTTGGAGGGAGCCTGTGGCTTTCTCTGGAAGCTAAGGGCTGCTCTGCCTACTCCAGAGCCCACAGGAAAGCCAGAGCCCGGCTGGCTGAGGGCTTGCTGGTCCTTCGCGGGGAGGGGCAGGAAACATCTGCCCCAGCTGTTCCCCAGGTGCCGATTGCTGCTGGTGCGGCGGGGTGTGACTCTCCGGGCTGTTCTCCGGGCAGTCTCCTGCTTTGGCAGAACAGAATGGGTGAGCCGAACCCCTGGGTTAGTGGGGCTGGTGCCGGGAGCCTCCCTGGAGCGGCTGCCTGAGCCAGGCCACCTCAGGCCTGGCCATCTGAGCCCCTGGGGAGCCTGCACGGAGCACTAAGGCCCCACTTGTGGGACCGGGGTCCTATCTGCCGCTCTCCACGCCCCTAGCACCAATCCGCAGGCCTCAGCAGCTGGACCGGGGCTCGGGGCTGGGCACTAACCGCATGGTGCCAATGGGAGCCCGCTCCCCGCGTGGCACAGGCCCGAGCCGCAGACGGTGTGAAAGAAGCAGCAGTTCTGGGAAAGGAGCCTGTCCCGAGCTGCCAAAGGCAGTGACCTCTTTTAGAGGCTCAGGTTTTGGAAGCCAAATGACGCCGCAGGCTCTTCCGGGCCCGCAGGGCAGTTGGCCCAGCTCAGCGAGCCGGTGCCAGCTGAGCGAGAGGAGACGCACGGTCTGACATCAGCAGAGGCTGCGGCAGAGCCCGGGCAGCGTGGCCCCAGGGGCTCCGGAACCTGGGCACTCGGGGCTACGGCAGGGAGGGGGCAGGGTCTGCCCACCAGCTCATGCCCTTGGGGTACTCCCGAGTGGGACCCGCAGGCTGCTGGCTGCTGCTCAGGCCTATGGCTGGAGTTGGCGCATGGGCTGCTGTAGGGTCAGCAGGCAGGAGGGGAGCACAGCGGGGCGCTGAGAGCGGGCCCTGAGAACACCAGCGCTCCCCCTCAAAGTCAGGCTGGGGACCTGCGCAGTCTGGGGCCAGAGCTGCCTCCGGCCTGGCACATCCCCAGCAGAGGTGTGCTCCCACGCTGTGTTTGAGCCACGAATGAGCCCTCGCTGGCTCAGGCCTTCCAGGGCTGCTCCACGGCTTTGAAGGTGGAGTCATCACCCACTGGGCTTGAGCCAGGAGCCCCCGGCCGCTCTTGGGGTACTTTGGCACGGCGATAAAAGCCCCCTGGCCTGGGTCCAACAATGCCTGTATGGCCTGTGACGATGTGACTCAGCAGGGAGGGGGGAGTGTTGACCTGGGAATGTGCCCTGGGGATGGGAGACCTGAGAGCCTGTCACCTGAGCCAGGAGGGGGAGGGGAGGTAACACCTCTGCCCAGGAATGTGAACAGAGGCTGCAGCAGGGAACCTGCGGGGTGAGTTGA